CTCCACTGCTCAGATAACATGTGGTTATCTCAAGCCTCCCAGATCCTATCCAAGTATCTATACATGACTGTATATCGTGCAGCTATGTTGCCTTGAGCACCACGAGTGGGAGCCATCGGTGCATCTGGGATGGTTTGAACCCTGCCAAATTGTCTCAGAACTCTATGTGGATGATAGGGTTCGACCACGTCTAAACACTTCAAGCATCTATGGTAGAATGTAACCGGGGTACATAGATGCCGATCTCTGCAAGTATGGTACGGATACCAAATAACCTATAAATCTAAAGTGTTTTTGAATTAAAGTATATAAAATGTAAGATAAATGGAAAGTGTTAAAATTATCTTAGGACGAGTAAACTTACATCAGTCGCTACCAAACTGTCAAGCTCCGCTAAAAAAGATTTCAAATGATCAATGGAGGAACCTGCCTCTCTCTTAGATGTCCAATGGTACATGTGTGGTATGTTTTCATTGTAGCCCATGTTCTGGTGAGGTCGGAATGCTCAGAAGTGCTCATAAATCCACATCTCCAGAAAAGTCATATAACCACCCATCTGCTTAACACCAAACCGACTAGCATACCCCAACTGTCTATCTAAAAATGCTAATGCAACAGCGTCCTAGGCGTAAGTATGAATAGATCCCAAATCTATCAATAAGCCAAGGTAAACAACAAGAACGCTACCACTACTCTTGTCACTAAAGAGCGTACATCCCAACAGAAACAACAAATAAGCTTTAGCAGCGCACTGTATAGCCTCATCTGGGTCTGAATCTGTGACACCAGCAAACTGACTTCGCAACCACTCAAGCTTGACTGAATTTCCACCAGCAGTAAAAACCTCGTCATGTGCTGCACGTTTAGTAATGTCCAAGCCAGAAACTAGTAGTGTAACTCCATCAAGATCTGTCACATCTGGTACGCTGACTAATCTGCATACAATGGGAAGGCTAAGAATAGTGCCAACATCATCCAAGGTCAAGGTCATCTCACCAACTGTCATATGAAATGTGTTCGTATCAGGTTGCCATTTTTCAACAAAACTGGAGATTAGAAGCTTGTTGACGAACCGATAAGTGCAACGAGCTAACTATGACAGCCCAGACCGCTCAATAATGGTTTTGAATATGGTGTTGTTGTTTACTGACCACCATGGTCATGCAAGGATCTTCAAAGAGTGATTATGACATTTTAGGGGCCCTCGTTCCTATAACACAAATGAATATCTCATTAGAAACTACCATATAACACAAAAAAAAAAAAAAAAATCATATATAAATGAATTTCACTTCTACTTAGGAATGTTTACCTCCTCGTGCCAAATAGCTGCAGCGACATGACTATTGAAACTCCGCAATATTGATGGATCAGTCGGTCCACCTGGAAAAGTATGAGTAAGGTCCTCTTCCTGGACAGTAGGAGAATCGGGTAAAGAGGCATCCTCCACGACAATGTCAGGCATATCATCACCTTCAACTCGTCTTTGGCTTCAGCTCCGACTTTGACTATCACTGGGGATATCATATTCTACCGAAATTGGATCACGATCTCGATCACGACCCCGACCTCAACCTCGTTCTTGCCCACGGCCACGTCCTCGTTCTCGTCCCTGTTCATGGTCAACATCCAATTCACGACGTCGTCTATTTGAAGCAGTAGGTGGGACACGTTGTTGACATTCGGAATCCATATTATTTGCAAAAATTAATATATTTAATGACTATACAATTGTAAAAAGAATATACAAAAGAGGGGGGGGAAAAAACAAAACCGTTCGGAAGTTGAAAATCGAAAATATCTATTTTGTTCGGAAGTTGAAAACCGAAAAAAAAAATTCACTTAAGAAGTTGAATGTTGTCCGAATTAAACATATTTGGAAGTTGAATGTCGAAATAATAAAAACATTTCGAAATTCTATTGTTGAAATAAATGATAATTTTCGGATTTCTACTTTTGAACAAGTTGTTTACTTTCAGAAAATCAGTTTCGAATGAAGGACAGATTGCTCATTTCGGTGGGCTATGCATTCGTTCGTTTCGAAAATGGTAACAACAAACCCTACATTACAAATTAAATAAGAATTGGGATTGAAATAAGTAAACTAACCTAAGTTCTCCAAATGTGAAAAATTCCTTCAATGGTTCAATGAGATTCTTCAATGCTTCAATGAGATGTCTTGATGGATGCAATTTTGAGGATGAAAGGTGTGAGAGATGGACTTGTGTGGGAGACATGTGTGAGAGATGCATCTTCAATGGGTGTGTGTATTTACACCGTTCGGAGAGTTGGGTTTAAGGGTCTAGATGTGTGTATGAGGATAGACGTGGAATGAAAGGTGTGTGCAATAAGTAAAATAATTTGGGATTAATTTTTTAAGTGTATAGTAAGAAGGATGTGCAAAAAGTGAAAATTGTGTGTGCAAATAGAAACTCTCCAGTTCCTGTTCCCGGCCCGGTTAGGCCCGATGTAAAATTACCAGCATACCCCTGTTTATGTATATGTGTGTGTTTAGGGTTTGGCTAACACAATCCCAACACAAGGAGGCTGCTGCTCTCTCTCTCTCTCTTCCCGCCGTTGTTCTCTTCTCTCTGCTCCCTCACCGGCGCTGCTGTAGAGGCTTTCGCCTCCCTCTCTCTCTTTCTCACGGCTGCCCCTCACCGCCGATCCTCCTTCATCGCCGATCTTCAAAGGGTATCTCTCTCTCGTTAAACTAGATCTAGGGATTTCAGATCTGAGTGTATATGTGTGTATATATATATATGTATCAGATTATATATCTTCTAGAAATATCTTGGGTTTCTAAAAGATCTGAGTGAGAGAGAGAAATAGGACTTCCACTCTAACTCCATTCCTTGTATTTGTCATATGAAGAAAATCACTATCAACTGTCTAAGCAACTAGTTCTTAAGTAAAACAAAGATATGACAATAAAAAAATTAAAAAATTTATAATGTTTTTTAGTTGGTTAGAAACTGGATAAACTTGAAAATTCTCAAAAACAAAAGATTGAAGAGGCACCTTTTACAAGTAATACCTACCAAATGCTAATGTTATTGGTTGCTACTACCAGAAAACCTATAATGCTATCAGGATTATTAACATTTTTTTCGGCCACCATCAAGTGGCCACCATCAAGTCATCGACACATACGGTAACCTAATCAGACCCAAGTTACACGCTTTATTTTATTTGTGAGAACTTAGAATCCCCGCTCACAGACTTTCCTTTTCAAGCGGATGAGGTGGTCAGAGCAGCTAACCTTCAAAATGCAATGTATAAGCAGGTTTTCTTTGCTTAACAAATGCTTAGTTTCCCAACAAATTGAATAAAATAAATGTTGACATACACAAGAAAAATCTATTCTTTTCCTGCACAACTTGAAGGTGAACATGAAATTGAAGCATATAGAATAATGACTTTGAACACCTTAGAAACAATTTACTGAGTACAAAAAGTTTGGTAGAATCTGAGAAGCACCAACAACTCTTAGAAGGTAGCATGTCATGTCCGACACTACACACCACTTGTTGGACATTTTCCAACACTTGTTGAACACGCGTCAATGTTAACAGAAGGAAACTCACTGCTGACAGATAGCAAGGAAAGGCATATATAGGAAAGGAAGAGAGGGCATCCCTTATTCTATTCCTTCCTGAAGTCAGAAATAGCCGGATGATTAGATACTAATGCTTGCTAATAGCTACTCCTGATACTGCAGCTCACCTACAGTTCAACTCTAGGAAAGAGAAAGAGAAAGAGAAAGACATCCCCTACCCCATTCCGGAATGAATGGCAGAATGAAGAACAAGAACTCAGAGCTACAAAGACTTGCTAATATTCATTCTTCTTTACAACCATTACTTCATTAGAGGGCTAATAGTTAAATAGGGAGATTTGCTTAACACTTAAAAGTAGATACATTGGGTTGGACACTGACTCCCTCATAGATGCATTGGGTCAAACACTGACGCCCTCATAGGCTCTCTTCTCCTCTTTTGGGTGCTATGGGAAGAAAGCTAGGAGTACATTCCCGACCTCGCACTAGAATAGACTTTTTGATGCTTTACCGCTTGTGCCCAATATCCATTGGTCCGACCTCAATAACTAGATATATCCAGGTTAGAGCATCTCTAATGTTGTGTCTTTTTTTTCACCAAATTTGAGTAAAAACTCCATCTGATATCACTTGCTCCAATGGATTTCATCAAAACACCGGTTGACCGAGTGGACGACCGGACGGATGTCCAGTTGGTCGACCTGCCAGTGTAATTTTTTTACAAATTCTTGCAAGGAGGTGGTCATCTAGGGGACAACTAGCCGGATCTTCGGTCGATTGTCCGGTGGTGAAAATGACTTGCAGCTCCAACGTCTATGAATAGTGAAATGATGAAAGATCCGAGCCATCCCCAATTTGGTGAAAGATTTATCATATCTTCAATTTGAAACCGATGAAACGATTGGAGCAGCAAAAATGACGTTTATTCATCAAATTTAAATTTGATGAAACAATAGGTGACACGGTGGAGATGGTCTTATCCCGTGCGATCTATAGGTTCTGTCTTCAAAGCAAAAAACAGCGCAATCGATAGGTTCTTACCAACTGCCATACTATTTTTTAAAAAATTTCTAGACTTGGCAAGCTCTAGACGCTTGATTATTTAGACATATGAGAGGCATTACAAGTATGAATGTAATAAATTGAAAACAAATATTAAATAATAAAACAAAAACAATATAAATTTTATACCTATTAAAAGACTTAAAAAAATTATATTGTTTTTTGATTAAATATACTATAATAATATATCTATAAAATCAGGCTTGATTCGTATTAAAAATTCAAAATCCCAGTAAGTATAGATATGATACCTAAGGGTTCATATTTAAGATCAATAACAGATTTAATGACATAAAAAAGGATATTAATGAAAAAGTTAGCATATTAAACCAATAACAAAGGATTTTTATAATAAAAAGATTAAGGAAGTTTCGATTTCATTTCGTGGAAAGGAAAAAAAAAAGAAGCTCCATCAGAACTGAATGCACAAAATACGTTCTAGAAAAAATATCATTTCTGATTTTATTTTTGAAAAGAAAATGAAACTCTAAATTAAAAATTAAATAAATAAATAAGGAGATGAAGAAGAAGAACTTGCCTCAGAAGGGTCTGAATTTGTATTTTTCTCTCAAGGGGTCGAAGAGAGAGAGAGAGAGAGAGAGAGATAGAGAGAGGGCGAGGAAAACAAGCGGATCCAAGAAAAATGAGTGAAAGAGAGGCAGAGATTGAAGAGTCTTTTCATTTGGTCTTTTCTAGAATTGACCAGGCAGCTTGTGTGAGATGGAGTATCAAACACTTTTCTTTTACCCCATAGTGGTTGTTTATGAGTAATCATCAATATGTGCCATGGGAATCCACTGAAAAGGAAGAGTCTGTGAGCAGGATACACTTTTTGGTTAGCAAGTTGGTAGGTGCCCAAAATATAGACATTGAATAAGTTTTTGGGCATTCTAAGTTCTGACAAATAAAATAAAGCATGTGTAGATGACTGTCTGATTAGGCTTAACGCATGTGTCGATGATTTGATGGTGGCAGAAAAAAAATGTTAATAATGGTGTTGATGATATTTTTTCCTGATGGCATTATAGGTTTTCTAGTGGTAGCAACCAATAACATTAGCATTTGGTAGGTATTACTTGTAAAAGGTGCCTCTTCAATCCTTTGTTTTTGAAAATTTTCAAGCTTATCCAGTTTCTAACCAACTAAAAAACATTATAGATTTTTTAATTTTTTTATTGTCATATCTTTGTTTTACTTAAGAACTAGTTGCTTAGACAGTTGATAGTGATTTTCTTCATATGACAAATACAAGGAATGGAGTTAGAGTGGAAGGCCTATTTGGGAGTCCTTCTCTTTCTCTCTCTGTGTAGATGACCTATGAAAACTTGCCATGAATAGTTGATTTGGGGTATGTCTTTCAAGCAGAGTTAAATGCATTTGTAATATGTTTTTTGGGTGAATAAAATTTGTAATATGTTAGTTGAGAAAATTTGTATTTCTCTGCGTAGCTTCTTTTTGTATTTTGTGTTAATTTATTTCATGTTTCCATATAATAGTGTCTTTTTGATATTGTTGTTTGAGTTAATTTAATTTCATGTTTACATATAATGTTTGGCTTCTTTTTTTCTTTTTTACTTTGATCCGGCACTAGCTTGGGTTGGAGTGGTTGGACCAACTTCAAATTCAAGTAACCTTGTTGATCTTATTTCATTGAACTCTTCTATTGTCAGTGATTTGGTGAGTTAATACCGTTGTACGAGACATTAGTGAGAATGGCAATGGAAGAAAGTCGACATGGAAAGCAACAATCAGCTGCCACCACAAACCCAGCCATCAGTTCATGCCGAAAGAAGAAGTCGGAAGAAGCTACTTTCTTGGAGGATGTAAAGGATCACATTGATGAGTTTATTCATGCATCAATGGATGAACACAAGACTTGCTTCAAGAAAACAATCCAGAAGGTATAGATCCAACTCCACAACGCTAGCCATCTCTGTGACTTATCTTTAACTCTGAATAATCATATCATGTCCGGTGCTGATTAACATATTGGGTGTGTCTCAGATGTTTGGAATGTCGAAAATTGTTGCAGAAAGGAGTTCAGCCCCGGAGGAAGTCGAAAGTTCTTTGCCCCTTCAAACTGTTGTGTCTGACTAGTCGATTAGTAACTTTTCATGACAGCTTAATAATTAGCATTAAGAATTTGCAAGCTAATAAATTACAATGCATGTATGCTCTTTTCTGATTGTTGTCTGGTTTCCAATGATAATATAGAGAGTGTGATTAGTTTTTGAGAGCCACATAAATTTCTTTGATGCTCATAATGTGGCATATTCCTATTTTGTTTTTTTTGTTTTTGTTTTTGTTTTTTTCTCTCTTCAATTGAATATATAATCAAGTTAAAGAATAGAGAAACTGCCCGCTCTATGTCCATCCTTGTTAAAGTTAAAGAAGACTGTGTTTGGTTTCTATTAGTAGTAAAATGTGTAAATAAATAATGAAAAGCAATATTTTGGTTCAAACAATAAAATTGTACCGTCTCTGTGCAAATAGGAATTTATTATCAAGATTATATTTTCTTTTGAAAATTTTTGGTCTCATGTTGAATATTAAGTGATTGTATCTAGGGTTGTAAACGAATTGAGTCGAGCCGAGTTTTATTGAGCTCGAGCTAGAGCTCGGCTCGTTTATTTATCAAGCTCGTTTATTTAGTTCAAGCTCGGCTTGATAAGAAACTGGGTTCAAGCTTGGTTTGGTTCGTTAACATTAATGAAATTCGAGTTCGGCTTGATAATTTTTTTTAATATTATTTAATATATAAATAATATATTTATTATAAGCTGGCGCGAGCTCGAGCTCGGCTCGTTTATTAAACGAGTTTAATAATCGAACTCGAGATCGGTTCGTTTACTAAATGAGCCGAGCTTGTTCATGAACAGTTCGGTTCATTTGCAGTTCTAATTGTATCAAACATTACTTTTCTAATTGGGTACCATAGTAAAATAATATGGAATTTATAATTATTCAATAAAAATAATAGAGGAAACTCAATCATGCCTTCTTAAAGAACTTATTTGGCTTCTCTGGCGTATGAACAAACAAGAATGTAAGACCATGTTTGATTCACAACACTAATAGTGAGGTATTAATAATCCTATTAAATTAGTGTGGTATTAGTTATCCCACCCCTACCCCATTACTAATAATCCTACAAATTTGTTGGATTAATTATCCATTGGATTAATAATCCTAAACTAAAATGTCAAAACAAACATAGGATGATTGGGCCCACGGATTAATAATCCCAATCCTATACTTTAATCCTTCCCATCAAACATGCCATAAGAGTTTTACTAGTGTTTATTATTCGTCACTAAAAGTACAAATGAAAAAGATAACTTGAGCTTTTGCCACGGCAATATTCGTCATAATAGGTAACCAAAAAATATTATCAAAATTTTCTTTTAACGACAGCTGTGGTGTCTCCAAAAATATAGTTTTATTATTTTTCATTTGTTTTTAGACTTTTTTTAAAGAAAAAAAAATTGCTTTTTCAAAAAGTGCATAAAAAGTTTTTTTGTTCTCTAAAAAATATAAAAGAATACAAAATAAATAATAAACAACAGAAGAAGTTCTCAAACTAGTCCATTTCGAGCACAACATCCAGCCCCTAAACGAACAAAAGAAACGGAAAATTTTTATTGTTCAAATGTCTAACAAATTGCCTACGATTTCTCTCTTCTACTAGGAAATTGGTTTGTACATAAAAAATCGCAAAATGTGAGATTGTCATGACATAAACAAACCTCGTCAGGTAATAAGTAAAATAGAAAAGACTGCATTTATGAGCACTCCTGTCCTGTCATCTCTTCCAAACAACATTTCCAACTTTCTAAGAAGAAGAAAAGAAAAGAAAGAAAGTCCCCCCCATACATGCCGTATATCACTACACATTTACAAGTTTGTCGGTTGCCAGGCCAAACTGAAGTCAACCTTTGCCAGGATCTGCTCCATCGTGCACATCCAGATTGCTTCTTGATTCAACATTTTTGTTACAACGAATAAGATTTGGAGTAGCTGAAAAAATCGCATGGTTCTCACCAGTTGGATTTATGACTGGGTCATGAGTGGTCTCGCCTTCCAGCAAAGCAGATGCCACATTCTGTGCACTCTCACTTTCAGGCAATGAAGCAGATGTCGTATTTTGGGAGCTGTCATTTTTGGGCACAGCAGCTGATGCCATGGTGGTTGATGTAGCAGCCTCTGCTACACTGGATTTACTTGCTCCATCTTTCCCACCACCTATCACATCAGCATTATGAATAAACATCAGTGACTAGGAATGATGAATTAACACATTCAAGAGAACCAAAGGAATAAAAAGAAATGAGGATGGCTACTTTCCGGGCTTCAAGATTGTGCCACGTCAGTATTTTTCGTAAATTGAAAGTATAAATTATCTAGCCATTGACCCATTAAATATTGGGTCAGGTTTTTAAATTGGATCTAATATTGGGTTTTTAAACAGGTGGATAAAATCTGAACCATTAATTTTAAAAAATGCCGACATGGCGAGCATCTGAGCAACAGACTAGACGTCCAGTTCAGAAGGACCCTGGCCTGATAGAAATTAGTCATTTTCCATGAGCAATGATCTGGTGAATTTTTCATAAATACAAGACGAAGTGCCGAAACAAAAGACGAGACGTAAACACGTGCACGTGCACACATATAGTTCGTGTGTAAGGGAGAAGAAAGAAAATTACAATCTGGCATTGATTCAATTTTTCTAAATACTACAGCAGTTGGCATTGGCCCCAGACACACGTATATGTTCCCAAAATATTGGGCAGTGTGAGCAAATAGAAAATAAGCAACCTCAGAATTATGAAAAAATGAAGACTGAAAAAAATAAGAAGGGGACCTGTATTAGAAGCGCCAGCAGCGGGTGTATTTGTATTTGAGGGCACTGATGAACTTCCAGATCCTTTTTTCATCTTTGACTGCAGATATAGAACCAAAAACCAAGATATATTAGTTCCATTTGCTCGTAAATTCCTTTTACATGCAATTGTAAATTTTACTCTCATAATGCTCTAAATCTAATAAAAGAACAATTGCTAAAGTTGTTTTGGCTGCTTCTGCAGACATTCAATCCAAAATTTAGTCAATAGGCCACAGAAGCAGCCAAAGCAGCCAGTGTTGAAGGACAAAGCATAATAAAGTGCCAATCACCTCCTAGGAATTAATTTACATTCATTTACACAATGCATTTTGGCATGCCAACCAAACACCTCTACAAAGTTTACTCAATTAAATACCTTGGCATTTTCTTCACAATACTTCATTACAGCTGGGATGTTCGTGTAATGGCCATGCAACAGTGTGTACGCCCATAAAAGAAGCTTCCGCGGAATATTCAGATCAAGAGCATTGACCCCATCGAGGCCTGGATAGAAGTGTCCTGCAGTTGCTAACTGAAATGGCACCACATTCAGGTTGATACTTGATGGGAGCACTGCACAGGAGGTGTCCCTACTTAAGTTGTAAGAACATCTAAGCAGTGTGGCAGCTGTCTCCAGATCTTGCTCTGAAGTTTTCTTGATTATAACATTTTTGATCTTCGACAATAAAGGGTTCCATTTTGTTTCAAGATTTTTTAGATGGTTTGGGTCTTCAAAGGAAGACTTCCACAATTCATTTGTCTGCAGATCAACACAGAGCTGTTGGCTGCTCTCTGACCCCAAATCTGACGGATTAGGAACTTGGATCTCACTTGACAGTCCAGAATGTAAAGGAGTGATCAATGCCAAGTTAATTACAAGTGACCGATACCAAGCAACAGAGACATGCTTATAAACTTTAGCACAATTGCTATTTGACAACTTTGGATTCTTAAAACGCTTTCGTATCTTTTCACTTATTCCTTCAAGTACTTCCACTCTGACATTTCTCTCTAATAAGTGGATATATTGGTAGAGATATCTACAAGAAGGAGAAAAATTATTAGAACGTATGTAAAACCAGGAGAGGAGCCTATTTCTTTCATGTGAACTGATATTGGATAATAAATTGCTAAAGATGTATACAACCCTTGGAATGCACTATGCTGAATCAACACATTGGCCAATTCAGAACACTAGAATAGTGAAATTCCACTCCCACCCTGATGGTCCCCACCCCCTCTCCTCCCGGACACCCCCCACCCCATTCTCTCTCTCTCTCTCCCTCTCTCTCTCTCTCTCATATATATATATATATACAGATATGTATGTTTGTAACTAGGATGTTAGAGAAACGAAGCAGCATCGGGGGGGTGGCAGAGGAGGTGAGTGGTAAGATGGGGAGGTGGGATGCAGAAAGAATTTTGTTTTTTGTAATTTTGTCCTAAATGGTAATTGTGCCTTGGAAAAAATTGTCATAAATAATTTCTAGTGAGTGTACATGGAAATATTGTGTGTACATTTAGAAGCTCCGTAAGTTTGCATATAGTTCAGGCTTCTTAGGAAATTAATTTTCTCAGCATCTATGTTACATGGACTCGGGTACGGGTGTCGGGTGCGGGTATGTATCTAGAGGTCGGACTCATCAAATCATAAATTTAAGGATACGCGGACTCGGCAAAAAAATGTCATATTTTTATATTTTTAATCTAATATGTGAGATAAAATGGTATTATATTTAACTTATAGTGTCAAAATGACATTTATAGCAATTATATAACAATATATACATATAATAATAGTGTTATATACAATTATATAAGAAGTATCCGTTGAAAAGTATCCGACACATATCCCATACCCTTGTCCGAGTGTCGGGTGTCCGACACGGGCATTTGATTTATTTTGAAGAGTCCATGTAACATAGCTCAGCATCACTTACCCATATAAGCTGCTCTCCGTTAATTCTGGGCTAATGATCTCGGGCAAATAGCATAAATCTGACCATAAGTTCATCTGCTCAATGAACAAGGAGAAAATTTTCTCCAGAAGATGCTCAGAGCGGCTTGCAGCACCAGAGCCAACATTCTCAGTTTGATGTGTCGATGAAATTAAGGACTTAACATACCTCCCAAGAGCTACTGGAACAAGATCTTCGAGGCACAAGGAGAACTGGATTTGACACTGATAGTAAGTCTTACTGCAACATATATTTAATCAAGGAAATCTTTAAAATGAAAATATGGCTGTACCCTCTTATCTGCTCGAATAGAGATGTAGGCCCGGTCAAGTGTACAGATGTCTCCCGTCTCCTCCAACAGTTTCCAATAAAACAGAATGTACTTCCTAATGCAAGTGATAAATTTGCGAGAGCTTTCTGGTAAGTGAACTTCAAGGACCTTTCTGTTCCCAGAAAGACCTGGTGTTTTGCGCCTGAAATTAAGAGAAGGAAAAATATGCCGATTGTATATTGAATTATTTCGTTCAGAAGCTAATAAAAATAACTAACAAAGGAACTACAGGAAAATGTTACTAGGTGGGACTTCCTCTTATTTCTTTCTTTCTTTCTTTCTTTATTTTTTTCTTTTTTTTAATTTTGGATAGACAATGTGCATGTCTCCGTAGTAGCCTAAAATTATAACTAAGGCCAAAACCCAGCCTTTACTGGGGACTTTCCAGTAATACATTCAAAACACGATTCATCACTCTAGCAAAGCATGTAGAATCATTTTAGCATTTCAAGAATGATATCATTTCAATGTGGAGATGACACTATTTAGTATTTCCTATGATAATGACTTGTCCCTTTTTCTTTTAATTACTCAGACATGGTAATAAAGACACATTTTCATTGTAATTACTTCATGGAGCCAAATAAGAAAAATATTTGTGTTGCAGAAATAGTTCGAGGCTTGTACCTTCCTTTCTTGACCATACTATCAATCTCCCACATATTAATTGTGAAGGATGAGCGAGATGACTTAAAGCAAAAGGAAAGTTCATCCTTTGCCCTCTCCAAATCCCCACTCTCACCCCTTCTGTACAGCCCTTGGGCAAGCATATATCTGGCCTTATGAAAATGTTTTAGGTCTCCTTCTACACAAATTTCAAGGGCAGAAAGGCAATCTCTGTAAAGCATATGCCACGCCTCTTCCAATTGATGTGAATCTACTAGCTTTGTATCCTCGGGATTGGTTTGAATACTTTTGTCCTCAACATCCATTAACAAATCTGGAATTTCAGTACCCATTCTGCTCAATATCTTCACGATATTCTCCTTTGTTGATTCATTAAAAGAATATTCTGCAACAACCTAAGGTAAACCCAAGAATAATCAAGACAAAAAAAACAAATTATAGCACAGACATCAACTACAACATTACTTGTGCAAGTTGAAGATATTGTCAATAATAAAGGTAAAACTAATTCATAATAATAAATAAATAAATAAACTACAACCATGCATAGGTGTGTATGTTTCTACATGTTTGTTTGTGTCCAAGTGATCGTTTCTCTTCATGTAGGACTAAGCAGAGATGCATATGTATTTAGATGCAATTATTTTGACATGGTAAAACCTTGGCCTAATAATCTTGAGGTTATGGGTTCAAGTCACGGGGCAACCACTTTGTGCACTATGCCAAAAATTAGGTGTGTACCCAATCTTTCCCCTCCCAAACACACATTAATGTGTACTAATTAGGTGGTGTTTTTTTTTAATATTAGATATCTTTCATCTGCCACTTTCAAATAAAACACACAAATGAATAAATCAATGGAAAAAATGAAAAGTACAAAAAGATAATGGAAAAACGAAAGATAAGTTCGACATAGGAACAACCTTTAGAGCCTCTTTATTTTGTTTGCCACATGTACAAAGTAACTTTAAACGTGAAGCATGCATCCTGTAGACAGCATCTACGGCTGAAGGATTCAAATCAATAGCCTTATCATAATATGAAAATGACATCTCATGTGAGTATCCAAGCTTTTCAGAGAGTTTCCCCAAATAAAATGCGTGAGACCAATCTTCCCTGCAAGTAGAAGTCTCAAATTTGTTGGTGCAGTTCATATTTGAAAAGAATAGCAAACTAATAGCAAGTGCGAAAAAGAAGATACTTATGCGCGAAGGCCTTCTTAAAATGTCTCGTTGCATTATGACAAAACATCATCCATGCTGAATCCTTTGAGGGTAAAACAGATCTCTGATCATAGAAGGGAACCACATTCTGTAGGCCATCATAGTACACTAATGCCAATAATTCATGTATCTCACCCTGGAACCAAACAAAATTTATTAATTGCCTGACAATTTACCATATAATAAATAGAAATATTAAGAGCGAAGAAGAAAAACCACTTTTAATCTTAGCCTCCAAGATTATCTCATTTTTTCTTAAGCAACTTTACTGGTTGTATGGTAGATACTTGCAGGTGCAGGATCCAACACAAGGCACGCCTCACTTTACAGATTTTGATCTCAAAATTATCAGAATGGACCTGACCAGTTGATTTGATGACCATTCAAATGATTAACCATCCAAATGTTCATATCATCAGACTAACCAAATTGGCAATAACCCTAACACTAGACCATGACACACCTTTGGTGTCGAATCTGTATGCTGTTGAATCTATCAAATTCAATTTGCAAGCCATGTCTAGATAGCAAGGGTGAAAATGCTATATGGATTTGAACATCAATATTTGAAGATCGTATAATCGAACGTAAGGACTGAGTGGGACCTGTTGAGCTGATGTCTTTGCTAAAGCCAAAGTCATTAATAGACACCGCCGACTTCTCCTACGACTTGTCTCAACTCTGTGAGGTAAAGTAGAATTCTTCCTCCAACCTAAAACATTTATCTGCTTACTACCATCATTTAGCAGTAAATCCACCTCCTGCGTACATAAACCATGGGAAGTCTTCATCAATCAAATTAATGCTGGGAATCATCAAAGCACAGCAACACATCTTTTTTCTCATTTTCAATTTTGTACAACATTCAATAAGAGAAAGATAATTAACATCAAATTTACCTCGTCATAAATATTGGCAAGCCGTTGCCAACTCTCAAAGCGTGAAGGATTGTACTGTAAATCATATTTGAAAAGTTTAGCATTTTGCTCTACAAATTCTTCCCCTTCCTTGGTGAGTACAAACCCAGCCCATTTATCAGTTGCACTCATTTCTTCAGACTGAGCAAGGAGGTAATACAAGTTGCAATAGACCTCCATATACGGGTCAGAGCTGCAATCAGTTAATTACACATCAAAAAGACAGTTCGTTCCAAGTAATAACAATCTATGGACCAAAGCATTATTTGGGGGAAAAATAAAATTAAATGGCACATAAAAATACTGATCAATGGACGTATACCTCCCTAATGATGATGCCTTGAGTTGTTTGAGGCTTCCACCATCGGGAAATATAATCTTCATGATAGAATCAAGAAACCCATCAGATCCGGCCACTTCTGAGAGTTTATCTTCACACAGATTAGGATCATCTAAGAACTTATCAATTGCATTTCCAGCCAAAACATTGTCTGGTGGCTGTGGAAAGTGTTTGCGTATGGCTCTTAATACTCTCCGAAGCTTTACCAATCTAGTTCTCTGCGATGCACAAATGTTAGCAGTCAAATGGAAGTCAGAAAAGCAAAAATCACCACATAATCTTCAAAAAAGAAAATAATAATTTGAGACTAAAGAAAAATGGGAAAAAAAAAACCAAAGAAAGAAATGAGAAAGGAACAGAAAATTCACTAACAGATGAAGCCTTTGCATAGGGCAGTATGTACTGGAAAACATCAGCACACTGTTCCTTTGTCTGATAATCGCCACGGCTAGTATTTTTGTGCTGCACAAAATCATCTTCATAGGATGAATCTGATCTAAGCTTTAAACCATACAAACAGAAAAAGCATCGATCCAAAGCATTATCAATTCCCAACTCAAGTTCCTCCCTTTCATCTTCAGTTAGTTCACTGCCAAGAGCATTAGATTGATTGCTTGCGTTTTCTCCATGGGACATACCATTGGGCCCATCACCACTGCATTTGCTACATTCCAATCCTGCATTCTCTTTCTCCATACTCTCATGAGGCAAAATGCCTTTGGCAGGCACTCCTTCAAGAACATCCTTCTCCACAATATTGCCTTTATCTATAGCAACATTCACTGTATCTGAGGCAACATTTACCGTGTCTGACTTTGATTTGTCTAGAGATGTTTCGACATGATTATTGTGGGAAAGCTGCTCGTCACATTGCATTGTTTCCAATCCCTTGTTTAAAGAATGAAAGTTTGACTTAAGCTTCATATCCAAGGACAATAGATGCTTTATTGCAAGTTTTAGAAATGTTCCTTCCTCTATTTCACCATCTCCACCTGCACAGCAGAGCCCATACTCTGCCAGCAAGTCATGCATTGCCACGATCAATTCAATCTGAGATAATAAATGAAAGCAAATGGTGTTAAAAACTTAAATGAAAGACAGAAATCACTGCATAGGCCAACACAATGTGAAGTTTCAATTCCTCAGAAGACGGCAATACAACTCACTTGAGTTTTGATAGGGACATTCGGGTTCAGATGTTGAAGTTTGCAGAATAAAATGGCTGAATCAATAAAGCAGCATCTTTGGCTTTGTTCAATTTGATCTGAAATTGCAGGTCCAGCAGATTTCTTAGAAAAGTATGTGCTCGCAATATTGCACATGAGTGTCAGCAGCAAAGACTGAATATCACCAATAATTCTCAGAAGAGCAATAAAGCCATTCTGCAAAAAGACAACAAGCATATGCTGTAATGAAAAATGGCTGCAAGAAGATAAACAGAAGATTAACTGAATCATGTATCCTTGAAAAACTGGAATCTGCTTTAAAATCACAAAAATGTCAACCATAATCCAATCAGTATTACAGTTGTGAAGGTAAAACACCTTTGCTGAACCCTGCATTAATAAACGGGGGAAAATAAAATAAAATGCTGAACCAGCATGTAAGCAAGAATCCACAGTAATTCCCATAATCACTGAGGCCACAGGTAGGCATGCAATCTCAATACATGAAGCCTGAGTGATTGTGGGAATAACCATGGATACAGTTTGTCTTCCTCGAGGATGCTTGATCTGTCCAGTTTGTCTTCCTTCAGGGGTTTATCTTTCTGGGGGATTTGCATTCCCTGAGGGAATCGAGCTATTTGATCCCGGCCTTGTTCTAAGGCTCTTTGCTGGAACGCAAAGATTCAACAAGGCTCGCCAAAGGATTCCCTGGTGTCCATACTTCAGAGTTGGTCTCATAAAGCCTTTCTTGGACTGTTGATGCCTTTCATTGCTAGAGGAGTTTATGTCCGAGGGTTATGCAATGGTGGTGCTTTTGAGCTTTTGCCCCTTGATCGGGGTTTGCCTTAGGCTCTTCTAGAGCTATTTGCCTTGCTCATTTGTCACTCCACTTTGAGCTGGTACTCCATAGAGGGAAATGGATTGCTTTGAGGATTCTTATTTCCTGCAGTTTCCTTTCTCCCGTTTTTTGGACTTTTGGTGGTAAAATTCAAAATTCAAATGTAGGGTTTTTACTCCTTACAAACTGAAACGAATTTGTAATTTTTTTTTTTAATAATTTACTAATATAATATGTTTAATTTAAACTATAACTAACATGATTGTGTAACCTACTATGTGAAGATACTTATACTATAGCATAGTTCTTGGTGCCCCTAAAACTCAAAATATTACTTCATATACTAGCCACTTGTCCCTGATAATGCCAGCAGCATTCAATCCTAAATTCAAAACAGTCACAGCTCTTGCTAAACATGATAAGCTTGATCGTGACTCAACCTGACATAAGTAATCCTTGAGCAAGAAACCAACATGCCACTTGATGTATCATGCTTCATAGACCTATAGGGGCCTAGAAGTATTTGAATATTTGGAGGTTTCATCATGATTTGATCACATTTTGCAGGACCAGAGGTTCTGAAAACTTCTGAGTTAGACAGTAATACTGATCGTTTACACTTTATATTGCACGAAGCACATGATCTTAACTGAAAAGTTTAAATCTATCAGTGACCCTACACAAAGCATCAATTCTAAGAAACACATTATGCTTAAAATTATTAAAATTACAGGAAAAAGTAGTAATTGTAGCCATATCTCATAATGATGGTTCTTTCAATAATATATTTAAAAAAAATTATAAAATATAAATGTCAAATTCTACAGATATAAACTGGACTTACATAATTTCCAGATAGATCTATGAAGTTCTTCATTTGTGATACACATTGAGAGATTGCCTTCACTTCTTCTGCAACCAATTGATTCCAATGCATGCTTGGGCTTTCATTTAATTCTGTTCCTGAAGTAGAAAGTGGTTTTAGGACAGACATCTTGTGAATAGATTTATATGAAGCAAGACATTCATCCATGCCAGCTGCAACCAATAGTATTTGCAGCTTCCTTCTGTAACAATTCAAAAACACCTCAAAGTCTGTTGGTTTTGCCTTTTCGCATGCTTTAATGAGAACATCTAATGCTGATAATTCAACTGAAGCAATCTCGTCACCTTTGTTATCAGCAACCCATGATATGTCATGGTGAGTGTCCATTGTAGAAAAGAGAAGGGGAGCAAGCAAGTGTGCACACTCGAGATACATTTCTTTCTCAATTATCTGACCTATGGCTCCCCCTTTCAACAAGAAATCAACCTCTAATAAATTAATTTCGTGGAGAATCCTATCTACAGTTAACTCTCTAATAACTTTGCAGTGTGGCAGGCAAACAGACCGAAGGTGATTGTTCAGATTTTCTTCATTGGATAAATGTGACAAAGAAATACAGAATTCTTGCTGAGCTTTAGTCCTGTCACCATCGAAAATTGATAATCGCCCACTTAACCAAAAAAAGCGAACCCAAAAGTGAGAATTATTGGACAACAGAGAACTGATCCCAACTGATGTTTCAGAATTGCATTGAGAACTACTTGTTGAAGAGCTATTCTCATCCCCAGATGCACCAATTATGTGGAAAGGATAATCTGAAGCTACAGATTCAATGATTTTACAAAGATGATAAGATGCATCAGACATGAAGTCAGACCGCCTGGAGGTGTCAGAAGAGCGCGACCCAAAGTCATAGTACAGCTCAGCAAGAAAAAGACTGCATTCCTTTGTCCTATCCCTTCCCCAGTGCCTTGTCAATTTCTCCAACTCCAAAAACAAAGCAACGGTATCCCGGTATGAAATGGCTCTACTTGCAACCTCTTCTAAAAGCAAGTGACCCATGTGGTAAGCACCATAATTTTTTGAAGTTTTCTTGACAAATCTTGTAACATCATCAAATTCAGTATAGACTGGATTAGCCACAACATCAGGACAAGGTAATGAACAACTAACAGCACTATTACTATCTTGAGCTCCTTCTCCAACCACAATAAAAGGTTCCAGAAATTGAACCACAACTTTAGCCAGATCTTTCCTGTTAGCAAAATCCAATTCTTCTTTACCTGGTTTACGACTCCTGAGCCTTTCAAGACGACTACTACGCCTCTCTTGAGGTTGTTCTTCATAAACATTTGTTTCTTTCTCTCTCCAAACACTAGCTTTCTCAGAGTTCCAATCACTGATAGACACACTTTCACCGTCTGAGGTGACATTAGGTCCTTTCCTTTCCACAGACCCCATAATATTTTCTGAACCATGAGGCAATTGTATACTTAATCTAATGTCACCGGATTTGTATAATTTGTCAGACCCCTGTTCAGAACTGCATCCACTCAAGGGATGTAAGATTCCCAACAGTGCATCAGCAAGGCCTGTCCAGGAAGCTTCTGCAAGCTGCAATTCTACATTCTGGTTCAACTTTTTAGGTGCAACACCCTCATCTAGATTATCGCCTGTTCTTTTTCTCTTGTCCAAGAACTTAAGACGAACATGTTTTGGTTTCAGTTTGTCTATACCTCTTGGAGAAAATGGGATTGGTTCCGACTCTTCAATGGTATTTTTGACATGCAAAGCTCGAGAATGTGATGGCCAATGCCTCAAAATTAACTGACTGACAGAAAGACACGCAACCTCATCACCAATAGCAATCAATACTTCCAAGAGCTTCTCCATGCAATTCCCTGGATGCATTGTCCAGAAAAAAAGAACATAATGTCCAGAACTTCTAATAGGATAAAGTTGGCGGTTCATGAGAAACCAAAATCCAAAAATAAATAAATAAAATGCTTACAGTTGTTGGGGCTGCAAAAGAGTCCCTGTTCAAATGCCCATCGCGAGGTACTCAGTAAGCCCATTGAGCATGATAATGTTCCTAGCTGGTTCCAAACAACATAATCCTTGGTGTCAATCTCTACCGCTTGAAGATAGCAGCGTAGAGCACTATCATAATGGGCAGGACCTTGTTGAAGAAAAACAGTGGCAAGGTTCTTCAATGCCAAAAATCTGTAAAAAAGGTATATACAATAAAATATCAAGATGAATGGTAAAGTCTATTAGGTTCCAAAATCATAAAAAATAAACCTAAGAATCAAACAAGTTTGCTCAATCTGTGAAGATAATTTATGTGCATGTCTGTAATTGTAGTTCTTATGATACGAAAAAAATGGGATTGATGCCTCAACAAAATTGGAATAAAGTTGATCCAAAAGATCTCGATTCAAGAGTGTTTCCATGACTATACCACCCCCAGTCAAATTTGTTCCACTTCATCCCTCTTTCATGGCTACATATCTTTCAAGCCAAGGACTAGGTGATCTTTCTCCTGTTACATTAACCGAATTTCCATTTCATTTGGGAAAAGCCAACTTTTTCTGAACAATGTCTTTATCATTTCATCCAACAGACTTTTGTTAGATAGAAAGAGATTTGATAAATACTCATAAATATTAGATAGAGTATTAGAATGGAAAGATCCAGTAGATAATGAACTATTGGATCTAAGCCATCTTTGGTGAGATTTCCCAATATCATGCTAAAAATAGCTCGGATTCCAAAAGAAAATGTCAATCATTTTTTTTTATGAGACATATAAAGGAATATTGAAAATTCAAGTGGCTAAAGTTGAAGCAACTACTTTTGAAGTAAGAGAAAGAAAAACGATGACTAGAGTGCGAGAGTCAAAGTCAGAAAGATGATTCATCACTTGTTTCCTTCATTCAAAATCGTGCATAAGACTTTCATCATCTCGTAAGTCCTAAATGATAAATGCAAAAAGATCTGAGTTAGTGATACTCTTTTTCTTTGGTATACCTAATCCTGGTACTTTTTTAAAACCAAAATCGTGACATGAGCCTCATTTAAAAACCCAATCTGATCAACCCAAATCAAATCTAATAGTAATTCACATAGATCTAGGAATGAACCTCTAGATTTGTATACAAGCTTATATTTTATCATCGAATATATTTGGTTTATTCATTGGTCAAATCATTTACTCCATAGTCAAATAAATCTTTTGAAGAACTTATTAATCGGACAAGAATATAGATAGTCTCATTCTACAAGTCTATACCGACAACAATAAAATGTATAGTAAGTGGAAAGCCATCATAAATGCTTGCGAGTAAAAAGCTCTACAAATGAATGGATCAAATCAACTTGGAAAATTAAAAGATTTGTACAAGTGATACGTTTTGTCACCACTTTGTGAGAGCATCAGACATTCTAAGACAAGCGCTTCCTAGGTCCAATCCCAGATCTACTGCCAAACACAACTTTAAACTCTTCTCAACTAAAAATAGCTCTGTCTTACCAAGTCACCGCAGAGATGCGTAATATATAATTTGTCTATGTGTTTGTCTGAGAGTGCAGAATTTACAACCTATATCTTTGAACTATCTAAGACAGTAATTTCTGCATATGGCCTTAGATCTACTTGAGAACTATTACAGCTTTTTACAAATCTAAGAAAACAAATAGCTCCTTATTGCCATACAAGTGACACATGTTAGTTTTCCACCGAAATTATCCTTCACATATTTCACATTAATTTATTAGGGGGCAGGGATATATAATTTTAACTTGCCAATGTATAACTTCACAAGAAGTATCATTGCCACGCTAGTTATATATATTGGAGGTTAGGAAGGATGTGTTTCATTGGCCCCCCTTATAAAAGAAGTGGAAAATAAACCTTGATGTTGCTCAGCAACTATAGAAATTTATTTAAGTTTTGAATGTTTTGGTTAAACAATGAGAGAGAGAGAGAGAGAGAGAGAGAGAGAGAGAGAGCTAACAAATGAACAAACTGTTAGAATTTACCATCACCTACCACCACTACCACCTCACCTACTCCACTAAACCTAACCCACTACACCACTACCACCTCACCTACTCCACTAAACCTAACCCACTACACCACTACCACCATCCACTACACCTACATCTATATAAGGAACCATTTGTAATAGACAGAATATGATACAACAATCTTGTAATATATCAATCAAAACATCAATAAATAATATACATCAATTTATTTTACACAAACCTAAAAATATAACTAAATTACATTAAAAAAAATAATTGGAGGATAAATTTAAACCTGAGTTGTAAAAGATGACCGTCACTGGCACTACTTTTCACCTAAAACAAAGAAAAGCAAAAGTAAGAAACTATTGACAACCCAATAAGTTGCTTGATCATCTAGTGATCCTTTGGAGCACATGATACCTGAGCACCAGAAATAAGAGGATCTTTTAACACGGATTCTAATAGTTCACGAGCCTTCTCATATTCCTTGGCTTGTAACTTAAGAAGTCCTTCTTGGTAAATTTGTGAAAGATGAAACTCCTGCATTGACCAGATAGAGAAAGCACCGCATGAGGTGCATGGAAGTAAAATACACGAAATTTAACCCGGAGTTTCCGTAACTTGAACTCATCATGCTATGCTTGGTCAGGAAAGAAAAACAAGCAATTTACGTTTTAGTCGCTACCATGTCACTAGCTCAAGTATTCACCAACTAGGTTATTATTATATGAATTTAATAACCTAGCCAATGAATACTAGCATAAGAAAAGCACGAGTAAATAAAATAATTGGTTGACATTACCAAAAATTATATATTGTCTACAAGCCAACCAAAAATGTCAAAAAAGAAAAACAATTCAACGGGGTAAATGAAACACTTTACACCGTTGAAGCTTTCATTTAGCGATGAACAATCAGTTACTTGCAACAACAGGTTTTCTTACTAGAGTCTAGAACCGTAGTTCAAAATAAAAAAGTACACCATAATATAATGTTATAGTGAACTGAATTGGGTTAACTATACAATCCAAGACTCGAGTAGAAGATGAATACTTAGAAAAATCCCAAAACATACTAAGTCAGGAATTGTTCAGTTTTTATTTTTATTTTTTTATTTTTAAATAAGGAACAAACAGAGACATTAACACCCATTTTCTTGAATTTCTAATTATAACAATAAACCATAATTTCTTGAATTTTACAAGGATTTGGATTTAGTTGTATTGATTTCATTTTCTAGGTAACAAGAAAACAAACACCTTTTTCAAATATTGTTTTCTTTTTCTTTCCAGTTCCATAGGTTTCTCGGCAACACCAGTACATGTAATTCCACGAAAAATAGTCAATAAAAAGAAAAACTTTCCCATCTAAAGCCAAATTAAGAATGTAACTAAAAATGCAAACTCTGTATATGTCTATACATACATATATATATTAACGATCACAGATAGAGAAAGAGAGAGAAGGAGGGACGTGCCTGGGCTTCTTTAGTTGGGGCTAAAGGCTCCCACTGGCCTCTTGAGTCTGTATCATTTATAGCTGCGATTGAGAACTGAAACACACGAAAAAGAACAAAACAATTAAATGTCTTTCATTGACAATGAACAAAAGAAGCTCAGAGAGATTCAAAGTACGTACCATTGTTTCGATCGAGAGAGAGAGAGAGAGAGAGAATCAGAGCAAGTGCTTGTTTGTTGTGCTCTCTTCTCCGAAGTCCTGATTTTGGACAGGTTGGGGTTTTGATTTTCGGTTGAGATTAAAAAAAAAAAAATCATTAAATTTTTTGTTTTTATTTGAGAAGTAATTGTAACCTAATTTATCTAGGTATTCTTGTTGTCAAATGAAAAATGCTAGTATAAATTTTAAATTTTAAATTTTTTATTAAATAAATGATGGGTATGAGGTTTACAAAATTATAGACTCCATATTCCAAAAATATTAGAGGTCCTAAAAATTTTACCAAAAATTTTACCAAATGTCATCCACATTTGGTAAAATTTTTGGTAAAATATATCCATATGAGATATTTGATCATTTATTTAGTATAAAATTTGATATTCCTAACATTACTCTGGTTAAACAGTTAAAAGAAACCTTACATTAATCGCACAAGTTAATGAATTTTATTTATTTTTTACTGAAAATTACACTTGATTTTTTTTTTTATACTTATAAATAATAATAATAAAATTTCATAAGTTTGATGTAATTACACTCACAAGTTAATGAATTTTATTTATTTTTTAGTGAAAATTACAATTGATTTTTTTTATATTTAAAAAAATATCCCATTTTTTAACAACAGTTTCTAGAAAATTCTACACTCTTATTTTCCGCGTTTTTTTTATTTTTACTGAATTTTTTGAATATTTTATGCAAATTTTTTACTTTTTAGACACACCTAACATAAATACACCTAAAAAGTAAAAAAATTGTAAAAAAAATCTTTTAAAAATTCACTAAATACCAAAAATATAAAAAAAATACAAGAATTTAGTACATTTTTTGTATTTTTATGTATTTCTTAATTTTTTAAAATATTTTTTCACAATTTTTTTACTTTTTAGACATATCTAAGTAAGGTACATCTAAAAAAGTAAAAAAAAAGTTTAAAATTTTAAAAATATTCACTAAAAATAAAAAAACAAGAAAATCAAAAATTTCAGTTTTCAAAAAACTTAATCCAGAAAACTCAAATCAAACACAGAAATTTCATAAGTTTGATGTAATTACACTAACTAGTAAAATTAAAGAAAACAAAATTAATGTAAATATTGTGTAAACAAGGAAATTTGTTTCGATCCTGTTTGAAATTAATAAAATCTATATACATAGAGTAAAATGGAGAAAAACAGGAGACGTGACGACTATAAAAGATAAAATAATGTAGTGGCGAGTGAAGATAACGAAAAATTAAGTACATCATCTTATTATGTACTCATTTGATTACAAAGTTCCAGTGAGTAAGAAACAAATAACTAAAAATGAATGATTTGTAGTAATGGTGCTTGTGGAGTGGTAGATTAGTTGTTGGCCCTGAGAAGTGGCGGAGTCATTTTTGCTGATTGTCCTCGTGAATGGGGATGGTTGTAATGTGAGATGATGAAATGACTCTGGCACACCACGGAGGGTAACTGGGTGGGAGATAATAGTTTGGTAAATAGATGAGATAGTAGTGAAAGAAGGTAGTTTTACAAGTGGTGGTGGACCTAATCCTCGGCATTAGACTGGGTTGGACTAGTGCAACTTTAAAATTCTCAACCCAAACTCAGGCCGATGAACTTTGATAGCTTAACAAGTCAAATTTAATGGGCAATCCATACTATATTTATATAGCTTGAGTCATATTAATGGGCTTAAAAATATGGACTTACGAGTTTTGAGTCGGGTTGAGTCTAGCTTATACTGACTTAAATTTGGCTATATATTCATGTTTTTTAAATTAAATTCAAATAAATAAATAAAATTACAATATAAATTTTCGACATGTATTATAATAATTAGAAATTGAATGAATAATAAAAAATACAGTCAATCACTCGTTCAATTCAGTTGAATGAGCCTAAAATTAGATAAAATATCAAACTACTCAAGCTCGGCTCAATAAAAGCTCGTTTGAGATCAGTTCAAAATTTTAACAAATCAAGTTTGAACAAATTTTAAAACTCGTTGCACTTATTAAACCAAACTTAAATAGTTAACTGTTCGGCTCGTCCGATTCGTTTATCACCCTTATTCAACCCTAAAAATAGATACCTCATTTCACCATCATTACCCCTTTCAGCCCATTTCCTTGATCTAAGGGTTTCATATATGAGGGAAAGAAAAATAACAAGATCTAGGGTTTTCAAATAATATAAAAAAGAGAAAAATAAAATAAGGCCACGAGAATCAGTGATAGAAGAAGTAGAAAGAGAGAGTGACAAAAAGGAGAAGGTGCATACATGAAGGGGATGGCAGTAAGTAGTTGAAGGAGGAAAGGTGTGGTGACAAAGAACTAATAGGGGTCGTGAGTTGATAGAGATGGTAAGTAAAGGTTTGTGCAGTGCGGTTCAGGCGGCTTGAAAATAAAATTATAAATTGATTGGTAGATTAGTGGATAAACGGATTAACAAATCGTGATTTGGGAGGTTTTGAGTGGATTAGCGGATTGGAGAATATTTTAACCAATTATCAAGTATTTGTATAATATATAATACTAATTTGCATAATATTTTTTTACATTATAACACAAACTAATTTAATATAATATTTTTCATATGTATAACTATTAATTTGTAACAAATTTAACGTCTTAAATCTTTCTCACAGTCATTTTTACTTTAATATTTTATTTGAAGTTAAAAAATATATATGTATTAACTATAATGGAGCGAAGTAGTTTGGAAGGTACATTATAAGATTTAAAGTCCGCGGTTAGCAGATAAAATGGTGCGGATTGGTGCAATTTTAGAAGATTTGGTGGTATTTTACACAATCCTAATGATAAGGAAGGGTGAGTAGGGTGACAAATTAAGAGTTTGAATTTTTAGTGTTTAAGTTGTTAATGGTAATTTTAGAGAAGGACAAAATTATAATTAAAAAGTGAAAAGTGAAAGGGTGTGATTAAATAATTTAATGTCACTGTAAATCATAGATCTCACAAAAAACATGCAGCGGAATAAAATGTTTAGATCATACCTGATTCGATCTAAAACCTCATGGATAAATCACGTGCTTCCAGAATCTAATCAATCAATCCCAGCAGTGGGGTGATATTACAATGGTGAATATCACCCACACAAACTACAGTGCAAAATGACTTGATTGTTGTTTCTTGGGAGAGAGTCAGTTTATAGGTTGAAAAACAAAAACTACGTTGTTTCTCTCTTAGGTTACCCATAACCATTTATCAGATATATATTATATTATTATTATTTATCCATATCAGTTAAAACTGATAATATCTATATCCTGAGTGGTTATCCTAAATAGGTTTGAATTTAATTCAAAACCTATTTGGATAAGATCCAAATTATGTTCAAATGGTCATGCCACATGGGCGCCCATTACTAACAGTCACTACTCGCCTAATTTTTTAAATAATTTTTCAAATAATTTTTCTAAACAACTCAAGAAATGTGTAAAGTTTGTAAATATTTAAGATATTTTGTATAGATTATTGTAAAGAATAATCTAGATGATTATTATAGTGAAATAAGAAGCTTAGAGGTATCTTCTATAACCCTATCATCATTTAGATGGTTGACACTTGGTATGATCTTAACTTTTCAATATATCTTAGCATGCCTATATAAAGGACTAATGTATCTCAATTTATTATCATATTTGCTCCTCTAATCACACCCCTTCCTTGCCATCTGAAAACCTTATTACTTCGTTTAGATTGATTTCTTAGGAGGGGAAACAAAAGATTTCTAGAGATAAAATTAGTTAAATCATGTTTGCATTTTTTTAAAGAAATGAAAAGTGCATTTGCATTTTTTTAAAGAAATGAAAAGTGCATAGAGGGATTATGAAAGGGAAGGGAGAGGGAGAGGGAGAGAATATGCATTTTAAGCATTTCACTTTCCATCGAAAATAGGAAAAAAAGTAAAAAAAGTAAAGTGTTCTTCATAATAATATATTAAAATATTTAATTAAATATATTTTCTTCTTAATTAAGCATTGTGTAATCAAATAAGAGGGAGACAACTATATCTTGCGTTCCTTGTCCTTCTTTTTCTTCTTCTTTAAATAATTTGTCTAAACAACTTACGAAATGTGTAAGGTATATAAATACCTAAGATATTTGTATAGATTATTATAGAGAATAATCTAGATGATTATTATGGTGAAATAAAAAGTTAAGGATATCTTCTACAACCCTATCATCGTTCAAATGGATGTTGAAAAAATGTGGTTTTATGGTGATCCTAATGTGAAATTAAAGTAGGTTCCAACCATTGGTTGAGGTGGGATTAAATGGGTTTAGATTTTTGTAATAAGTTCTTTACACCACAAAAAAGAATGACAAAAAATCATTAAGAATTGAATGAGAAATTGTTTCATAAAGATGACCTCATAAATGAGGTATTAAGAATTGTGTATAACTATTAATCCTACATTGATTGTAAAGGAAAACTTTGATGGGTATTTAAACATCATGTTTTTGATAAGGGCATGAGCTGTCATGACCCAAACCCGCCCCTATGGGTTTAGTATCATAACCAGCCAGTAATCTGTAAATACCAAAGGCCTGCTTAACAGTAATAACAGTAGTACAGTATAAAACGGGCTGGCGGAAGCCAAACAGTAAGTAAAAGATGTCCAATGAACTGTGAAAATCTGAATGGAAAAAGACTTTTATGTCCAAAGCCACCCTTATAACCAAAACATATATACATACATCATATACACATATCATCCAGGTTAGGGACCAAATCCCTTCACCATAACTGTACAGTCAAGTCTTATTCAGTTAATACAAAACAGAGACAAATGGGTGAATTTGGAACACCCCAAAACAGCCTTGGCTTGAACAAACTCGGAACCTCGAAGTGAGGCACAATGGTTGGCTTGACAAAACGAGAGCTTAACTTGACGCTCCTAGCTCCGGTCCGGTTCCTGGACACCTACATATAAATATAAACAGTGAGTTAAAGCCCAATGAATAACAACTGTGTAAATGAGTTAAGAATAAATGTCATTCCATTAATTAAAACAGTCAGTTGTATCAGTAAATCAGTTATTCAATCAGTGGCTCATATTTCACGCCATATCAGTCATTTAGAAATCAT